CTGTGCGATAGATGGTGGTAATGTTACTATTATGTTATTATATAACAAAATTTATTATACCGTAATCTCAATATAGCCATTCTCATAACGCAACAATATTCAATAACTTTAAATCGCTCAAACCTTCCAATTACTTTGGCAAAGAGTTATCAACCCTTACCTATGCAAATTTCCGACTTCTCCGCTCGGAAACTCGCATCAAAGTTATGTAATTCAATCAAAATTGAATATATCACTTTCCCAGTTCACCTAACAACATTTCCAACCCCCAAAAACTCTATTTACCCACCCGACACCATTATATTCCAAATAAACGCACCGAAAAAACACCAACTGCAAAAACATTTCCTCACCAAAATTCAACGTATGTCATTCCCAACTAACCTAACATTTAAAAACCACTAAAATTCTCAAGTATACACTATATAATACCTTATATCAAAAGAATATATTGAGAAATGGTAGAACATATAACCAGAATCAAGTCGACCGTCAAATTTACGCCAAAAGTCTGCAAAAGAATAACCAAAACTGTCCTCTCACCGAAATTCAAAGCTTTCCCAGCTTACCCACCACTTAAAAACCACTAAAGTTCTCAAGTATACACTACATAAAATATTATATCAAAAGAATACATCGAGAAATGGCAGAACATCTAACCAAAATCAAGTCGACCGTCAAGTTCACCCCAAAGGTCTGCGAAAAGCTAAGAGAAACGCACAGCCCTCGCTTTCCCGTCGTTTCGAAGTTCCCTCGGCGAACACGGAAATGCAGGCCTCGTCTCCAGAAGAGTCTAGGCGATGGCTTGGTCAAGCGGAGCCCGATAAATTCGCGGCTGATCCGATAATCGATAACTCGGCCGATGGGGCAATCCGATTTCGCTCGGCGTGCCCGCTCGTCCAGCTTCGCCTCCGACTTTCGCCGCGAAACGACGCGTTCCCACGCCGACGAATGCAATTTTTAACGGAGTCGTTCCACCGGAAACGCAAAGAAACGATTCCGCGGGACCGGGATCTGCTTAATCCGATTCGAACCGACAGACGCACCCCGACTTCTACCCGATTTACCTTCTCGACCTCCCGACCCTGCCTCTGGAAACCGTAGAATTCCGATGGAAACGCGTTCGGATTTTTTGGAATGATTTTTTTCAAACTTTGGGGATGAATGATAGATACTTTAAACGGAGCCAATATGGAATTCGCTTGGGAAATGTGGATAAGGTGGATTCAATCGTTAGTTCGACGGTTTTTTGGAGACTTTGAGGGTCGCAGACTGTTGAGGCTGTTTATTCGGTTGGATTTGTTGTTTAATATTTTTTTTATTAGTTAGAAGTATACTAGACTTCGCAATTTAGGAATCTAGCGACTATTTTATTGCCATTTTACTTTCCATCGAGTGAACAAACCAGTTTCCCTTTCGATTGCTCCAAGTTCTCTTAAAAATAGAACGATATTAACCCTTCGCGGACGAATGCCGACAAATTTTGTATACCTTAATCTTCATCCGCAAAGGGTTAAAACCGTATTATTCCTGTAATCACTAGATACACCGAAAACTAACGATCCAACATTATTTCGAAGCATCCGCGAGCGTTCTCTCCCGAAGCCACGGAAAACATTTTCCGTAAATCCCAAAGTTCAAAGCCAGAAAAACCGAATGCAAACGTGCTCGACCGAATGGCCGATTTAAAAACCGAAATGTCTTGCCGGATTAAGCGTTCTTTATCGAACAATCCGCCCTCCCGCGAACGACGCCGCCCCGCGGTAAATAATAAATAAATTTGCATATTCGAGCGGCGGTCGTGCGCGAGTTACCGAGTCAGCCCGGCCGCGTCAAGCTTCCCCGATTTATTTCGTATTTATTCGCGGTCCCGAGAAAAAAACAGCGCGCGCCATTTGAATATTAACGAGCCCCCGCGCTGTAATCACAGCTCGTCGCGCGCGGGTTTGTCGGAAAAAGGAGAAGCCCGAGGAAAATGGAGCCTGATTTATCATTCCCCGGGACGTCGCGAATGCCACGCGCCGGACGAACTTTCCCAAACTTTTCCGACCGTTGTTCCGTCTGAAAAGCGACGCGGCGTTTCGTTTTCGTTCGCTGCCCACCCGCGCGCTGCTGAATTTCGACGGATTCACGCGCTGCGAGACACGTGTAACGCGTGCACAATGGTTCGTCGCACGTGCGCGAAATCGCCGGTGAAACGCGACTTTATTTTTGATTATTCGATCGTTTTTCTAACGCTAGCACTCTCTTCTGTGTTTACTGTTGCCTTTCCTTCAAATCTTGCGACTTTATTTTTTATTATTCAATCGTGATAGTGGTTACTGTGGAGATATGTTACTTAGTTTTGGCCATTTTTGCGCTAGCTTTGCTAATCTTCTTACTATTCATTGCATTGCTCTGTTTCTCTAACGCTAACACTCTCTTCTGTATCTACTGTTACCTTTCCTTCAAATTTTGCGACTTCATTTTTGATTATTCAATAGTGATAGTGATTACTGAGCAGAAATGTTACTCAATTCCAGTCATTTCTGTTCTGGGTGTACTAATATTCTTACTATTCATTTCATTGTTGTTTTTCTAATGTTAGTAGCGTCTCATTTGTGTTTACTATTGCCTTTCCTTCAAATTCTACAAATTTCGGTACCATTTTTACAAATTTACTAATTCCTTTGCATTTTTTCCTCGATCTGCTATTCTCTTCTGCAACTTCTACTCTCATTGTTCTTTTAGGAGAATCTAATGTGAACGTTAATCTTATAGAACTTTTCTTTCATAACTCGACTATACGATGCAGTAATGGTCACAGAATAATAGGGCGTTTAAGAGAGTATTCCCGTTACCGTAAATTAAATACTTGAGCCTGGTTACTGCGAACTCGTCGATGAACTTCACAACGAATCAGCGAGAAGAGGTCCGGTAAATTCATAAAGCGAACGGTCCCGTTCCATTAGTAAATCCGCGGGGCTCCGAGGATCGGAAAATCGCGGCGCAGCGCGCGGAGGCCGAGGCGTAAACGAATATTTTAATTTTCGAAGGCGAACAGCCGCGCGTCCCGCTTATGAATTTACCGTCACGCGGATCGGAAGAGCTCGAGGGGGCAAATTGAGTTTCGCCGGCGCCATTGCGCGCTCTTCTTCCGCGTTCGAGCCTTATCAAGCGTTATCGGCCATTAACGGCGGCAGCCTGCACCGTGGATTATAAAAAATCGCGGAAACTCGACCGGGCGTATCGGTAAACCATTTGTTCGATGAAAATGCATCGATTCCTCAAATTGTAACCTCGTGAAAAATCCTCGTGCCCGCCCGAGCCCGTTCGAAAACTTCGAGCGTCTACCTTATTACTGCCGAGCGATTTTCCTTCGACAGATGCTGTGCATTGTACGTCAAACGAAAAACCAATGGTACTTTCCCTTCGATCGAAACGAATTGGTTTTCCATTCAAACGTTTGCGAAAAGTTAAACAAATTTCTTTCTTAATCGTATCTAATAGAGTCTTGTAGATTGGAGTTTCCTCTTTCCAGCGATATCCTGAGTGATGATGTACGATTTTTCTCTGCGAGATTACAACCGTTTGAATCGATAAGTTTTCATCGGGTGACTCGGAGCGCAATGCGTTTTAATTATATTTTATATTTATTACAAAGGTTTTCTATCTCGTCGATAGTTAGCTAACGACTGAACGCACGCGAATTCGTCGACGTTCGTCAACGTCGTTCCGTCGCCGTGAAATGACCCAGGAGACTCGTTCCGCGCGTAACTGCCATTGTAACGGCGTCCGCGCGCCATATTGGGCGCCATCTTGTCGCCGCACCAAGTTAACGAACGCTAACCTAAATATACTACACTTCGAAGCATACAAGCGTTTTCCCGATTTTTTTGTGGTTGAGCGTTTTACAACAGTGCGTTAGGCGATGAGATAAATTTTTATGGTTTTCAGGCCATTCGAGTTAACCAATAGTAAGCTGAATCTATTACTATTTGAAACTTACCATCGATTTTTCCTTTCTGCGCGGCTGATCGTTCGCGGCGATTCATTGGGTGATTCCGTGGATTCATGCGACTTCCCGTAATATTTTATTATTCTTTGCAGCTCTTTGATCATCCGGACTGTCGCTATTACTTCTAATACTGTCTTCTCGGCACGATTTATTCCCTTTATGCGCCGTTCCCGTGAGTCTTCGTTCCCTTTGATCAAGCGAACTTCGTAAATAACCGTGCTCATATTGCTTCTGCGTGTATAAATGTTTCCTACGCGATTTTGCATGGGCAAGAGTAAATAGTAATTATAGTTAGCTAAATGATAGACGTTCAAATAAGTTGCGCACGCTTTCTCCTATCCTGCAGAAACCGTTTCCTTCGCGAGCTTCATGTTTGCTATGCATCAGAGTGTTTAGCTGTCTGTGTCCTCGGCATGTTAGCACGATGATATTAATTACTAACTAATAAACGTTTGATGTTTCCTTAAAATATATATATATATAGAAGGTACTTGATTCGAAGAAGGGCGAATTTGGAGTGCAAAGTTTGCAGTAATTACAGAAACTCGTTTTAAAGCTACAATTTCCGCGATATAAACAATATATAAACACACATCTACATCCAATAGAAAGTCTCTATAGATATCAACATTTCAATTTCCATGAATCTTAACGAAAACAATTCTCATTAACCTTAATTACCTTAAGAACGAAGATTCCTTGAAACATGCAACTTCAACACATAAAACTGACTCACCTATCAATTAATTAATATAAAAAAAGAAATCTACCGATCCCTTGTACTCTACTAATTACACCATTCATCCACGACCTGATCAAATACGAAAATTTCATCTCAAAATATCGACGTTCGTCCGTAAATGGTTGAAACCGACTTGTTTCCGAATTCCGCAAATTTCGATAAAGAGAAAGCTCTCGTTGCCACTGTCGAAATCGAAAGAGACACCGCCAGATTCGCCCGGCAGAAATGGAGACAGTAGAGAACGGGGACCTGTTGTTTCAGCTGGTGGACGACGACGGCAGCATGGAGACGGCCCTGATCAATTACCTGTTCACGAGATCGCAGATCGTGAAACGGCTCCGCAGCCAGCTGGACAACGGCGAGCTGCAGCGCAAACGCAGCTACTGGAAGCAGTGCGCGTTCAACGCGGTCTCCTGCTTCGGCAAATAGACCGCCACCCCCATAGGACACGGCAAAAGCTTCCTATCTCTCTCTCTTTTCCCTCTGAACTCTCCGTCTGTCCCTCCCCCGGCCCGGCCAGCCAGCTTCCGACGTCCGTTTCCGGCCGACTTGCATCGCGACTCCCCCGGTCGATTTGTTTTCGTTCTTTAACCTGTTTACCGACCGACTTTCTTGTCGCTTGAAAGCTCGTTGACATCTCGCTGCGAAATCGCAGAGAGTAACGATGCCGGAAGTGAATTGCGTTGCGAAAAACGGTGGATTTTATGTTGCGATAGAGAAACGGGTTGTTAAGATCCTTAACCAGTTAAGTGTGGAGTTTAGTTTGAAAAATTCATTGCGCGCGATGAAATCGAATGAAGCGTATACTTGTTAAATGCAGGCGAGATGCACTTGAAATGTATCCTAAAACACTAAAGTGAAACGGAGAAGAATTACATGTTTGTCTTGGAAAATAAATAATCCATCGTTGAACAAGTTGGCACCGTTAAGCGCCAGTACTCGTCGAACACAGTTAACACTTTGACTGCACGTCACCCGAATTCGGGTGACATATTTTACAGAAACGTGGACATTTCTTTCGTGACGTATCGAACGAACCGAATTTTGTTGGACATATGAGATGTAAGAAAGATAATGGAGCAATTATTAAGAAGAATCTTGATTTCCCAGTTTCTGGTTGATAGAGAAAACCGTTTCGAGTACATGGGAGTTTTGATAAGTGTTTACGTGGCAGTCAATGTGTTAACTGATTGAGGGGAGGTGTGTTTGCTCGAGTTCTGTTTTGTTGAGTTACTTCGAGAAATGATTGTTTTAGAGATCCATTGTTTCGATCGCTAGATTTGTTATCGTGCTGACGGAAGGCAATTGATGCTCGGATATCGAGGAATTCGGATCGATAGCTTGAAATTTGATGATGAAAGTATGAAATCAATTCAGTGAATCGACTTTGAGAAATGCTTGTTTTAGAGATCCATTGTTTCGATCGCTAGATTTGTTATCGTGCTGACGGAAGGCAATTGATGCTCGGATATCGAGGAATTCGGATCGATAGCTTGAAATTTGATGATGAAGATATGGAATTATTTCAGTGAATCGACTTCGAGAAACGCTTGTTTTAGAGATCTATTGTTTCGATCACTTGTTATCGTGCTGACGGAAGGCAATTGATGCTCGGATATTGTAGAATTCGGATCGATAGCTTCAAATTTGCAGATGAAAGTATGAAATGAATTCAGTGAATCGACTTTGGTAGTTTTTGGAAATAAAGGTGAAGTTTCACGTTGAAGACGGTGATAAGAAGGTTGAGTGAGTCGTCGGTGAACAGGTTAACGAATTTTGTAGGACACCCGATCGCTAGTCTCGTTAAGTTCCAACGACGGTTTGTTTCACGATTGCAGGATCTTTGTAGAGGTTTCTGCGAATTAGATATTTCCTCGTCTGCGTCCAATTTATCCTTCGGCTAGATTCCCGTCCTTCCGTTCGCGTGCCCGAGAATTCTGTCAGAACGCCCGCGAAACCGCAAATCCGATAGAATTGAGATGTACAACGCGATAAATCGTACAGGATCGTTTTCGCGCGTTACCCTCGCGAAAGATCACGCGAGCAAGTCGATAGAGGAAGTAATATCGATATTAATCCGCTCTATTTTCCGAAACACAAGCTTCGACTTCTAGAAACGCGACGATTTGCCCGTGATCGATCGAGGAAAACGATCCTACCGAGCTTCGTCACGGAAGTTCAAACATATCTGAGTTAATTGTGTCCATATCGGTGAACATACTCAAGAGATCACACTATAAGAAAATTCATCTTACAAAACTCTGTGTGTTGTTGAATTATTTAGTCACCCTTGTCGATGGAGAACCTTCGAGCCAATGGAGAAAGCATTTCTCCCTGGAAAGACTTAGAGAAACGCGACATTCAAAGACATTCAAAATGTTGATTTCTTGTCGCTCAAAATATTGGAAAAAGAAATAATATTCGTTAATATTTATTCAAAGATTAATACAAGCTTGGTGTTCCTAGAGGTAAAAAATGGAACCACGCGAATGATAATTAACAGTTTAATAATAATTTTCTGATCGTTCTCGGTCGACGATAGTTCTATAATAATGATCAGTGAATTATAAATTTGTGAACACTGATACTGTTTTGAGTAGTGAAGCTTTAAAGGCTTTGAGATTGAGAACTGAAAGTGGTTTGAGTAGTGGAACTGAAAACTGAAACTGTTTTGAGTAGTGGAACTCTTGTCATTTTGAAACTGAACATTGAAACTGTTTTGAGCGTTGAAACTTTAAAGGTTTAGAGATTGAGAACTGAAACTGTTTTGAGCATTGAAGCTTTAAAGGTTTAGAGACTGAGAATTGAAACTGTTTTGAGCATTGAAACTAAAAACTAAAACTATTTTGAGCATTGACACTCCTGTCATTTTGAACCTAAAAACAAAATCTTTTTCAAGTAACTTCCACCATTCTGAAACTAAAAACTGAAACCGTTCCGACCATTCAAGCTTCAAAGGCGTTGAAATTGAAAACTGAAACTACTTTGAACCTTGTAACTTCCTTAACTTCGTAATTGAAAACTGGTAAAACTGAAATGAGTTCCACGTACTTCCAGAGTATTACGGAAACTTCGTTTTTATCGAATTCCTAATTACCTTCTTCGCGACGCGAGGTATCGACTGCAGAACCGTGCCGAAAGGTAAGCCAATCTTTCTTCTTTCTACTAATTAGGGAACAGTGCACGATTATTCGAACGATGCACGAACACCGACGGATCCCTCGACGTTTAGCAATCGTCGGAATGTTCCGACAGTGTTAATTAACCGTAGCGAGGCGCGAACTTGATCTTTTTTCCATGGCTTCTTCGCTAAAGCACGATGGAGCGACGCGAGAATTTAATAGCGATCTATTCGTCATCGGAATCTATTTACTTTTTATCGTAGCTCCGAGGAAATGCAATTACAGGGATGATGGCCTCTGGGAGAAATAAAAATTTCACAGTATTAATTCATTTATTTAAAAATCACTTTTCTGGCATTATTCTAAAATTCAGAGCAGTTTGTACAAAGCAATACACATTAGATTTTTCATGATTGACAAAAGATACGGTGTACAGATATTCTCGCGCGACATGCACTCGGTTTCTTCGTAAAAAATTCCACTCTTAATGAGAGATTCTGAAATATTCATTAGTATTAGTTACTCTTAGACTAACTCGTTCAATTCAATGTTCGTAGCTTACACAAAGTCATATTTCTAAACAGAGATTGAAATAAGGAGCTCTGCGATTGCAAGACTAAGGACATTAACTATCAATGTCATTACAAAGTTCTCGTTGAATGACACAGATTGCCTAATCGTACGAAATGCTCGGTAGTTCCAGTGTTGAGCTACAATAATTATGACAGCACTGTTTTAATTACGATAACATAGAAATCATCTCCTTCTACTTGCGTTTTAAACCACAATCCCCAAACAATCGACTACTCCACGTCAGCACGCCAAAAAATGACATCTGGGGTTATCGGTGACGGAACGAGCAGTCGTAGCAATTGCGAATTTCTCCGTTAAGCTGCAATGATTACAACAGTACTGTTTTAATTACAATAACTCCGGTAACTGAGTATTTTCATCGCATAGAAGTCATCTTCCCAATTGCGTTTCAAACCACAATTCCCAAGAAAAAATCGACTACTTCACATCAGCACGCCAAAAACAGACGTCCAGAGTCATCGATGTTGGCTCCACGAATTCCTCCGTTAAGCTACCATAATTACAGTACTGTTTAAATTACAATAACATAGAATCCTTCCCAATTGCGTTTCAAACCACAATCCCCAAACAATCGACTACTCCACATCAGCACGCCAAAAAATGGCGTCAAGGGTCATCGATGTTGGCACGGGCAGTCGCAGTAATCAGGGGCCAGCTGGACCGCGAATTCCTCCGTTTCCGGTGGCGTGGACGCGGAAGCTGAAGCCTCGAGCCACGCGACGGTCACGTGCCGGGCCGTCTTCGGCGTAGCCTCGAACTCCTGCGAAACCGTGTCGAGAGATTAGCGTCCGCGGAACAGGAAGAAGCGGAAATCGCGGCCGACAGCCGCGGCGGCGAAAGGGAGCGATGTAATTGGCGCGCGCGATCAGCGGAGCTGACAACTTCCACCGGCCGGAAGCCGCTTAACTCGCCGAGGTGTTAGCCGACTTTAATTCCGTTATCGCAGGGCGTTTCGATCGATTTAAAAGCGGGCCATTAACGAGGCGCGCGGTGGCTGCTTGCTTGCCGCGTCGGAACTTATTTGTTTCAGGTTTCGCGGCTGGTTGTTTGTAGAAATTGCTGTTATCGAATTTGTTCTGTGTATTTTTGGGACTTTTGGTAGTTTGAATGAGTTTCAGTTTTCTATTGTTCCAAATAGGATGGTTTCTTTGTGGAAATTGTTACTGAATTAGTTCTGTGTTTTATTTATAGAACTTTTGGTATTTTGAATAATGAGTTTTTTTTTATTGTTTCAAGTAGGATGGTTTTTTTGTAGAAATTGTTGTTACTGAATTAGTTCTGTCTCTTATTTGTGGAACTTTTGGTATTTCGAACAATGAGTTTCCTTTTTCTGCTGTTCTAGATGGGAAGGTTCGCTTGTAAAAATTGTTACCGAAATAGTTATACGTCTTACTTATAGAACTTCTAGTATCTTGAACAATCATTTTCTGTTTTCTATTATTTCGAATAGGAAGATTCGTTTATAGAAATTACTGTTACTGAGATAGTTGTATCTCCGAATTTATGGAACTTCTGATATTTTGAACAATGAGTTCCCTTTTATTGTTTTAAATAGGAAGGTTTGCTTGTAGAAATTGTTACCGAAATAGTTGTACGTCTCACTTATAGAATTTCTGATATTTTAAATAAATTCCACCATGTACCGTGTGTTTCTCTCCTCGCAAAATTCTCGATATCAGACGAAACACAAGTGTCATTCCGTTTATTTCTTATTTACACATAAATTTATATCCAAACGAAATTGGCCACTCACGTGGATCGCTGTCGACGAGATCTCCTGGCTAGGATGGATCACGTGCGTGGCCATCGATCTCTCCCGCTCCCCCAAGAGCCTGGCTCCCAGCCTGGTTCCGACAGGATTAAGGAAAATAGATCCTCGTCTAACGTTTGGCGAAGCTTTAAATCTTCCGGGGAGCGGAAACCCGGAAGAAAATCCAGTTGCTGGTTTCCCGCTGTCGCCCCCGATTTTCATCTCCCCTGGGTAATCAATACTACACCGCGTCTCGAAGAATGCAATCCCCATTTGCCCCGAAGTAATTAATAGATTACGGATCTTATATTAATTATCTGGGACCGAGGATTATGAAACTGGGATAAGAAGTCGATACACGCTTTCGTTAATTAGCTTTCATCGTCTCCTTGGCAGAGAAGGGAAAATGGAATTTTTTGAATTATGTTTAAATATTGTAATTGAATATTGGAAATAAAGTAATCTAAATGGATTATGTATTTGTGGATGATAAAATGTGTATGCTATATGTTGTGCAAATGGTAAATTAGGATAGAAAGTCGATACATGCTTTGGGTAATTAGCTTTCATTCTTTTCTTGGATAGGGAAAATGGAATTTGGAGAATTATGTTTAAATATTATGATTGAATATTGGAAATAAAATAATCTAAATGGATTATATATTTGTGGATAATAAAATGTGTATGCTATGTGTAGTGCAAATGGTAAATTAGGATAGAAAGTCGTTATTAGCAGGTGCTAATAGCAAAAGGATACGTTTTGAGCATCCTGCGAACGCGTTCGCGCTTCTTCCTTTTGAAGCCTGGTGCTAGGATAACTGGAGCACCTTTCAGGATCGTCCTCGTTTTCTGGAAATCACCAATCCACTCAGAAATTACATAGGATTCATAGGATTCCATATAACATTACAAGAGTACTTAATCTGGAATGACTTTGGAAATAAATGCTTCCGCTTGAATACTGTAATAACCACATAAACGAACTAGAAAGACTGTTACAAGTGACAATATCAGTATATGAACATTTCAATAAACGGAGGCAATAAGCCAATGAAAATTGGAGGCAATATACCAACATCAATGATAAACGATACTACTAATAGCAACACTTAGTTCTAGGATAAACAATTGAATTTAGGTCAAAGTGTTTCGAAGTTGAGTCGGTAGGTGCTGCAACATATCTGCTTTAATGTCATCTATATTACCTATCTATAATGATCTATCTATATTATCTATCTATAAAGATCTATCTATAATCTATATTATCTATCTATAAAGATCTATCTATAATCTATATTATCTATCTATATTATCTATCTATAATGACCTATCTATATTACCTATCTATAATGATCTATCTATATCATCTATCCACAAAAATCTACTATAACCTACATCATCTATCAACAAAAATCCTCTCTCAAAAAATCATTACATTCAAATACCTAATTTTTCATTTCAAAGAAATGTTCAACTGCTAATACCAGGTCAACCAGTAACTTTAGTTCTATTAAACATTCTATGGATCTAGCGTTGCGCAAGCACGACTGCGCTCGACTGACACAGTTCCAAACAAACAGGAAATACAATAACAGAGGAAACAAGGTACCAGTTCGCCAGCGGAGAAACTCGACAACGGCTTGGCGTCCCTGGGCAGGCCATGCTGCGGCTCCCGTCCGTCTATCCAGTTCAGCGGCGCGCCGGCTGCGGAATATTCTACGTACTGCGGACCAACAAACACCGAAATAAGCGGAAGATTAACGAGACAACGCTCGCTGAAATATGAATATAAACTGCCCGCGTACATCCTTGTCCACGAACGCGTAGAACTCCGGCCTCGCCTCGTCCTCCGCCTCCTGGCAGCCTACTTCCGGTTCGTCGCGTGGTTCCTCCTTTATCTTCGCATCCAGAGGTTCTTCCTTGATCTTTGATTCCTTCGTTTTCACTTTCTTCTCGACCGGTTCCTCTTTTATCTTTGCACCAGTGAAGATTCCTGTGTCGCGTCCCTTTTTCGCAGTTTTCTCGCCGTTTTCCTTCTTCGACTTCCTGCGCTTCTTCGGTTCTCTCGGCGACTCGGTCTCTTCGACCTTTGTGTCGTCGAATGAACTGTTTTCGATTGATTCGTTGGTAACTGATGTTCTAGGCCTGAAAAATAATTTGTAGATGTATACCTATACTTCGCTATATTTTTTAATTATGGTTTTTCGATTTACGGTCCATAATGCTTCGTTGTATCGAGAAGAATACACTGTTAGTGAGCTGTTTAGGTCTAAACAATGAATTAATTTAGTAAATATTGATTGAGTAATAATTTAACAAGTTTTGAAATTAATTTCAATGTTAATTACAACGTCGGACCAATAGTTTGAACTGGGTCAATCCACAAGGAAAGCGATGGCAGCGTATTATAGCTTACTGATTCTCCGTGTCGATGTTCGTCGTCGGATTGAAACAGTTTTTAGACATTTCGTTGTTTTTTATTCGCATTGTCTTGTAATTCTATTTTTATGTGAGCATTTTTATAAGGAACAACAAGAATAAAATGCTTCATGAAATAGGTGGGTAAGAAAGCAAAATACTTGGAATCGGAGAGAAGGAGGCTCAAGTCGATGGAGTCCGATTTTTTGTTAAACAAATTCCGCAGCTCGGCGAGATTGGTCGCGGTGGACCAGTCCTTGTCGTCGCGGATGCGCGTCACCCGTGGGAACCTGATGCTGATTCCGTCTGCGGTGTGGACACCTTGGTCCGTGAACTCTGCGCCTGTGATCTCCCATACCGGTTGCTTCTGAAACCCATAGGAAACTTAGAAAACTTCATTTCGAAACTAAGCACGAGGAATTATTAACTCGTCGAATGCCGAAAAAAGATGTTGACGCTGCAAAATAGACGAAATAGCGAGATGAAATTGTTGTATTTGGAGAACCAAGTCGCGAGCAAATGATTGAATTAGTTAAACAAGAGATCAGCACGTAGTTTCCTTCTTTTCCTGTTAATTAAGCAATCGGTGTATTATTTAGCTTAATCTGCTGAAGGTTTCCTATATTTCAGAGAATCTTCGTCCGCGAAGGGTTAAATCATTCGATTGACTTGCATTGCAAATTTACAATTGCAAATTATAATTGCAATATTTACAATATAGAAATATTTTCGAATAATCATCGTTTGATCGAGCGAACTAAAGAAAGTCGATTTGATCGATGACTCCCATGTCACTCAACGTGATAATCGATAAGTCCAACTGAAAATAAAAATATAAGAACCGAATGATTCGTGAGTTTACACCTTCGGATCCCTCGCCACGAAGTCAGGAATCATGGGCTTCTTCGCTCGCAGCCAGGACGGCACTTTGTTAGGGTCTTTGCCTATCTTGACCATGTCCAGTTCGTTCTGTAATAAAGTCAAGGTAGCATCGTCGTGGCCAGTGTGCACCTGAAATCGAAGATCATCTATTAACGAGGATCTATGTACGATAATCATGATCGATCATTGGGAAACCTTAGGAACTCTTTACTTTGGTCACAGTGAGCCACTTGTCGCTGTCCTCGTCGTAGCAGCCCATTAAGAAAATTGACATCATTCCACCTAAAGTGATCGGACAGCTTTAGAATCAGTAGAAAATAGATGAATATCGTAATATCTGATTCTAAAGTGATCGGACAGCTTCAGAATCAGAACAAAATAGAAGCATATCGAATTCTCCGCGAGAGAGCGATTGGAATAGCTCTCTCGTGGAGAAAATTGTAGCTCCCTCGCGAGGAGAATGTGTCGCCCTCTCGCGACGAGGAAATAAAGTTGCCACTGGTACTGATGATAATTTATTGATACGAACCCTTGTTCCCTGTGCCGTACCATGCGCCGAGAACGACGAGATCTGCGCTGTCGGCCATCGCACCGTCGAACAAGTAATCCTTTTTTACCTTCAGCCAGTGTCTCTTGCCAGGTTCATATTTACCCTGTAAAGGACTCGATGATTAACCCATTGTTCTACCTTTTAGTATTTCACAACTGTGATCGATGAGACTACTTTGTTGTTAATAATATAATAAAAACGACGACAAATTTTACGTTTATTTTGTCCACGTTTATTTTAAACGTTAAAGATTGATGAAAAGTAATATTTCATTTGTATGGGAAATAAATAAATAATATTTAAATTTGTCAAATTCGATTCAAAATTTTTCATCGCAAATTTAACTCTTTATATGAGAAAGGGTTGAAAGGATCAAGACAGGACCTATGGTACTTACAGTGACATCCTTTAGAACCAATCCCTCGAGGCCCAACTTGAGAACTTTGGCGATCATTTCCGCTAAATCCCGAGGATACTAAAATCGTCGATGCATTTTAACTCATATAATAATTTAGGAGATAAAATTAGAAAACGGAAGAAAATAAGATGATTTACATGAATTTCCTGGACCTCTGACAGCATTATCCTATTGGGTATTTCGGTCATCTTCTCCTTTAGGATTTGTCTTCGATGCATCATGCTCCTAAACATAGAAACTGTCAGTTCTTGTTCCCCGAGTATCTAACGAAGGACTTACTTGTTCAACAACACCTCGCCGTTGTAGTAGATGCAGTCGAACACGAAGAGGCAGACGTTGGCGTCCTTGAACTCTGCTCTCTGCGAAAGGAAATTGTATTAAAGATGAGAAGCTCGGAGAATGTCGATTTCCTCAGTGAAAATTCGAACCTTGTGAACGCCTAAAGTGCCAAAAGGCAACGGCTGGCCAGTCTTCGTGTCTATCACGAGGATCTCGGAATCCAAGATCAAATCGTCGCCGCCTGGGAACGCCTTCGGAATGTACTCCTTGAAGAGGTTCACCTGGAACAGTACTCACTCAAACCTGTGCGCCAAATTTAAAATTGAAATTGGGATTTGAGCTTAAAGAAAATTTAAAGGAACCGAGGAAATTAAACTGAAAATAGAAATTGAGATTTAAGTTTAAGAAATCGAAACATTCAAAATTAAAAGATCTGAGTGATCTAATGCAGTCGAATGAGGAAATTAGATTTACAATAGAAATTGAGATTAAAGCTTAAAAAGTCAAAGCATTCAAATTTAAACGAGCTAAGAGTGACCTAATGCAGTCGAATGAGGAAATTAAATTTACAATAGAAATAGAGATTTAAGCTTAAAAAATCGAAGCATTCAAATTTAAACGAGCTGAGTGATCTAATGCAGTCGAATAAGGAAATCAATCTTAAAATAAAAATAGAGATTTAAGTTTAAAGAATCGAAGCATTCAAATTTAAACGAGCTAAGAGTGAACTAATGCAGTGAAATGACATTTGCGACGAATTACTTTGTGAGGAAGCACAGGTTTCAGCGATCTGCTGAAATATCGAAACTCGCTGCCTCTCTTGTGCACTTGGACACGTTCCCCGTCGTACTTCACTTCAGACAGCATCCCGCGAGGACATTTCTTCATCGCCATCTCGACGGATTTGCAAGCTTCCGCCTGTTACGTTCGCAGCCCACGTTCAACATTCAAAGAGAGAAGTATTTACCGTGAAGCAACAATAGCTGCCAAGCAGAAGCCTGAAGAACTGTGTAATAAAGCTCACCAGCATCGGCAGAACGGGCGTCATCAAAGTGAGGGCAACTTTATTGCCGGAAGGCGACTTCGAAGAAGATGGCGGCGGCTGTCCGCCCCTCGAATCTGGCAAACAACGCTTGACAACGTTGACTAAGTCCCTGGACGTTTGGAAGGCAGCGTACGCGTCGTCGTGCACTGCCCCTAAACTGTTCACGTTTAAGGAGAAAAATGATATTTAGATATCCTTGCAATTAACACTTTGCACTCGACAATATTTTTCATTAAAAATAAATTGAATATTTCTAGTGACAAATTTTGGAGTGCAAAGTTGTTAAAGGAAGTTCAAGTTTGTTCTGAGTTGCGAGGAACGCTCACATGTGCTTCGGTCCAGCGTTTATCCTTAGGTCGTGCTTGATTAGCCTGATGATCATCTTCAGATCGTTGCAAGTGCAGCTAGAGCAAGAATTTGGATTAGTTGGATTATCTAATAGTTCTCAGTTGAAAGACGAACTGAGCATATAATTAGCATATAATTATAGCATTTCGAAACGATCTATTAACAAGCGTAATGCAACAAGATTATCAATCTATGAAAGACATCATTAGAATTTTCACGTCTTTCCAGCGAAAGTGGTTGACACGTTAAGCGTCATGGAAATCTTACCAATTTTTCCGTAGTTATTCCTTTGTAACAAAAGAAAGCAGAGAATATTCATTATGTGTCGTTACAATTCTCGCGTTAGATAATTATCAACTTACGTTACTAAACATTTGCATTTGACATCGATTGCCTTGATTGTTACGATTTTCAAAATAAATCAGAAATCATCGGTAACTGACACGACGCTTAACGTATTAATGCATGCAACGGATTTACTAATTAACTGTACCTAGAAATGAGCGAGCGGAAGTGCTGAATCTGCTCGTCCTCTTTAGTCAGGAACGACAGTTTCTCCAGAAACTGCTCGACCTGAATAAAACGAAGAAGATGGAGGAAAAGGAAACGGTAATTCGATCAATCCCGGCGAAATCGCACTGATTTATTCCATCCGTGTTCTATTTATTTCTCGCGAAGGGTCCGAAATCCTGGTAAGCCGACCGGGGTCCCGTGGAATTCCCTTTCCGGTCGAAACTCCATGCAATTTAATCGCGGCAGAATTCGACTGGGTCGATTCTTATTTGTGCCACGGAATCTTGACGGTTCGCTTTGATATTTCTTTCTCAACTATGATCGATGCTACTTTTATTTATTACTATTAGTAATTCATTGAAAGTTAGAAGAGATCTAGGTATGTATATATATATATAATAATTGATAACAAGATATAATTTCTCAAGTATGATCGATACAACTACTTTTATTTATTATTATTAATTCATTGAAAGTCAGAAGAGATCTAGGTATATATATATATATAATAATTGATAACAAGATATAATTTCTCAAGTATGATCGATACAACTACTTTTATTTATTATTATTAATTCATTGAAAGTCAGAAGAGATCTATATATATAATAATTGATAACAAGATATAATTTCTCAAGTATGATCGATACAACTACTTTTATTTATTATCATTAGTAATTCATTGAAAATTAAAAGAGAGAGAGAGAGAGAAAAAAAAATGGTACCGCACGGAACGTTTATTGGTCATTGCTCGCGGCCGAGAAATCGTGAGAAATCGGAGGAACGTACGGACGTTTCGCGTTTCTTTTTATAGAAAATTATCAAAATGGCCACTCGAAGCGTCAATGATGTAACGTAAAGCGGTGACATTCGCCAAGATAAGCGCGCGAAAAACGATAACGGCGGCTCAATTAAATAATTTGATAATGTGTTTTACCCTTCCACAGAAATCTTCCTTGAAAAAATTCCATGGAAACGTCGAAGATACGGAAATCGACCGACATTCGGTGCGTTAATAGCGGGGGATCTTCAAGGAGTCGCAACCTGTGGACTGCCGTTGCATAGAAAAGGTGAAACAACATGTCGGGGAGAAGGAACTGAATCGATAGTCGTGGAAAACAGCGAGGTACGATAATAGACTTTAATTAAAGAATTATTTCAAGCACTGAATTGCATTATTATTATTACATGTTCATCTAGCTGAATGTCACTGCATTATGTAGTATTATTTATAATATGGAAATGTTTTCAAATAATCAACAATTGAATGAATTATAGTGATTCGATTTGGTTGCATTTAACGTGTTAAACACTGCATTCCATCGTTCCAAGAGAAAAGTCCCATGAAAACGCGAGAGATAGGAAAAACTGCTCGACGCGCGACACGTTAATGGCGAAATAGTGACAAAATGACGAAACAACGTTACAGAAATCAATTAAAATAAAACGTCAAAGACAAGGAAAAGAAATGACAGTCGATAAATCGCGAGAAACGATAATCTACTCTAATTAAATATCTAAACGCCGCATTCCATCGTTCCAAGAGAAAAGTCCCATGAAAACGCGAGAGATAGGAAAAACTGCTCGACGCGCGACACGTTAATGGCGAAATAGTGAGAGAACGTCGCAACAAGGTAACAGAGAAAAAGGAAGATTGCGCTCGTGAGAAACCGCGCGAAATACTACGCCCACGCGAGTTTAATGGGAGCCAGCGTTAGCGGCGCGAGTCGGAGCAATGTTTCTCGCGCCTCCATTTGTCCCAGCGATCGCGCAAATTGTCGCGGATAATGCGGCCGCGATCCCTTGATCCCGCCAGGGATATTTGTCCATTTCATCCGGCGGATTTGCCCGATTAATTGAGATCATTATCTCGGCTCTTTCCCAGCGAGACCGACATTCCTTGAGAACTGCCACTTTGCAACCCCTTCGAACCTTTGTACTACTCGTTTGCAGCTTGGAATGCAAGGGAAGAATTGGAAACTATCAAATTAATATTTCAGATTTGTTTTCCTTTAATTGTTTCTCTGTATGAATTTAGATTGCGACAGTGATGGAAGAGATAGTAAAATGATTGGAAGAGTAGTGAATATGTAGATGATTATGGATGCGACTGATGGAAATAGGAATATAGAAAATGGTAATCAGTGTTGATAGAGATAGTATAGAAAATAATAGAGATGGGAAGATTATTTTTTGTTGGATTAAAGGAGAGTAGAAAACAGTTGAACATTGGAAGGATTGGATTGAAGTTTAGATTTGAAACTCGTTGTTTAAGTTTCCAATCGATGCAAGGGAATGTTGATGTTATTTATTATTGTAGTTAAGAATAATAATGAAATTTTGGAATTTTGAAAATAGAAAAAATTTATAGAGATGGGAAAGTTATTTTTCTGAAGTTTAGATTTGAAGCACTCGGAATTTAACTTTCTAACAAATACAAGGGAATATTGATATTTATTTATTATTATAGTTAAGAGTGTATTTACCTCTTGAATAGTAAGAACACTTTTAGAAGCAGGCTGCACAGCGAGGTTCTTCTCAAAAAATAATCGAATAGTTTCAGCCACGTCCCCTTGCTCTAAGTGTTCCAGCATCTCGTCTTCGTCCTGTAGCAGTATTCTGGAGAACAATTTCACCAACTGTTTACTCTGTAGATTGTAGATTCTCTTCATAGCTGCTGGTAACAACATTTTCACCCAGAGAACCGTGTCGCTCTTGAAACCATCTGAAACATCGATCGAAAGACGCTTCGTAGAGAGTTGATCCTTTAGTGTTTGTTGTCTCTGATGGACATATTTGATATTATAGTTATTTCTTTACAATTCTTGGCTGTATCCAATATTTAAATTTCGATCATTTCGATAATTTGTATCATTTTTAACATTTCTATAACATCTACAATTTCTACAATTTCTATAATTTCCACAATTCCCACAATTTCTACAATTTCTATAATTTCCACAATTCCCACAATTTCTACACATGCTACAATTGCTAACGATTCCCAATGCCAGACACGCCCATCTAATTTTGAATCGTTCCGAGGAAATATGCGGATACAGGGACAGGGTTCAGGGTTCTATAGGAGGAGCCCGAAAAATCAGTGACGAGAGGTCGTCGTTCGGTTCGAAACGAATATCCACGATCAGCGGCCGGTTATCGTGTACAGTTATCGTCTCGGAACTTTCCGCTCGCGCGTTGCACTCCGACGCGTCGCGTTTCGCTCGGCCGTTCCCTTTTTCCCTTGCGACTATCTCGTTAAATGATTTCGATGTGGCCGATCCACGACTGTCGACGCGAGAAAATCTTCGCTCTCTAACAGCTTCGATTTCGAACGAACAAACTTGTTACATAAGACACAGGTATCATCGTTCCTTTTATTTCTTATTTCCTATTTTATTTATAGTTCTTTTCCTTGTTCTTGGCGATAAAAGTATTTACTATCAATTCAATTAACACTAATTGACCTTCGCTCTGTAACAGCTTCGATTTCGAACGAACAAAGATGTTAAATGAGACACAGGTATCACCGTTCCTTTTATTTCTTATTTCCTATTTTATTTATAATTCCTTTTATTCTTCATTGCAATATATTATTCACTATCAATTTTATTCATACGAAATGATCCTAAAGCCATCGGTTTCTAATAGAACATTTTAACAAAGATAAACAGGCCACAGCTCTTACCTTCATCTTCCCAATTTCCTATTCTATTTCTTATTCCCTTTATTCTCTACAATCATCCTGCAAATTGCTTGCGATTATTATTGCAATCTCTGCACTGTACAAGCTCGTGGAAATTTACAGCCTTAGACGCAAGCTGTCAACTCATACAAATCAGTAAAATCATAATTTTCATTCTAAAACCTTTATAATGTTCGCCTGAACATCATCAGTTTTTTTATTTTATAATAATACGTGGTCGCACGAAAAGATTAGAAATGAAGTTTAAAGAACATCGATACATTTTTTCCATCGAGTCAAAATTAACCATTATCTTCCTGTTATCAATGCGTAGCCTCTAGAGTCAACGTAGACTCGAAAAGAATGAACGTAACGTTCGTTTTTTTGTCTAAGAACTTTTAAACAGATATCGATATCGACATGAACAGTTGCAACAGAAAATCGTAGAATATCAATGGGATTAATCGATCGTAAAATTAATGAACAAAGTATCTTCGATGGATAGGTCATCGAAATATCGTTTAGTCGACGGCGAATCGTGCACGATAAAAAGAACACCAGATAGAGTGACACTCTTCCACGTTACTTTTATTATTCGTGTCAATTCGGGTATCACTAAACAACTTAAAGTTATAAATATAGTTCCGAGGAAACTTTCCGACGAGTCTAATTCGCGAGATAACGCGAAGAAAGTTTCGGAAATTTCGGTGTAACGGAAGCGAGGCTTGCGTTCGCGGCAACGGAAATCGCAAGTAGAATCGACTGGTAATGATCAGACGCGAGGCGAGTCCTATTCGCTCGCTCCTGCGGTGGACTGTGTGGCGTTCGGAATTTGATTTTCTTGGAATTATAAGGAGAGAGATTCGAATCTTTATTTATTTATTTGTTTGTTTGTTTGTTCTTGAGATAGGACAAGTTGAAAACAAATTGAGAATTGAGATAGAAAATAAATATCCGTTTAAAGTCTGTATTTAGTTCTTCAATTATTTTGATGATAAAAGAAATTGAAAATAAAGAGAAAAGAATTTTTTAAACCAATTAAAATGTTCTTTTATTTATTTTTGGCCATTATTTTTTGAGATAGGACAAGTTGAAAACAAATTAAGGAGAACTCAGATAGAAAAGAATAAATATCCGATTAAAGTATATATTTAGTTCTTCAATTATTTTCGCGATAAAAGGAACCGAAAATAAATAAGAAAAACTTAACAATCGAAATTATTTTTGAGATGGAACAAGTTGAAAACAAATTAAGGAGCACTCAGATAGAAAGGAATAAATATCCGTTTAAAGTCTATATTTATTCATTCAATTATTGCCGAGACAAGAAGAACTAAAAATAAAGAAGACATATTAACCAACCCTATTGAAAATCATCTGTCACTTATTTTCTAGAATTTTAGACAATCCCGTTTCGTAATTACCATTAATTTCCGCGTAGAACTACTGCTCGGCGAAGCGACGCACGCGAGGCGACTTTTTTCCCGCGAGATGATCGCGTTTTCGCGTGATCAGCCGTAAGGGAATCCCCGTGAACGACAGCAGAAGTAATTGTCCACGTGTAACGGACGCGCTGCACGTGCACGGACCGCAGAGGCAACAGGTTGCCCTTAAATGGAGCACTGCAGCCGGAGCTGCGCCGAGTTTCGACACGGGGATATTTACGTGAATGGAACTTGTTGCACTGCGGAATTCCACGCGTCTATTTGGGAGAAACAATTGCGACAGAGTTCACAATGTTCCTCGTATTTCGACGTGAATAACTATTTATATTCCAAGGTGAATTATAATTAAGATTAAAAGTATGGAGCAATTGCAGTGACTTATTTCTAAGGTTTTATCAAAATTAAAACAATGTATTTCAGGGCATTTTGTGGGTTCTTTATTGTTGTCCTGTAGAAGACTGCAAAATTCCAGGCGTTTATTTTGCAGAAATATCTATGATAGTGTTCGCAATGTTCCTCGTATTTCAACGTGAACGATAATTAAGATTAAAACTACCGAGCAAATTGCAGTGACTTATTTCTAAAGTTTTATAAAAATGAAAACCATAGATGTCTAGACATTTGGCGAGTCCCTTATTGTCGAGGCGTTTCTTTCGGAGAAATATTTATGACAGAGTTCAGAATATCCTTTGTATTTCAACGTGAATTACAATTAAGATTAAAAGTATCGAGCAATTGCAGTACCTTATTTCTAAGTTAATATAAAAATGAAAACAATACATTTCTGGGCATTTGGTGGATCTCTTATTGTTGTTTTGTAGAAAATTGCAGAATTCCAGGCGTTTATTTTGCAGAAATATTTACGACAGAGTTCACAATGTTCTTTGTATTCCTAGGTGAATTATAATTAAGATTAAAACTACCGAGCAATTGCAGCGACTTATTTCAAAGGTTTTATCAAAATGAAAACAATAGATTTCTGGGCATTTGTTGGCCGACCGGTGAGCGAAAGCAGGGGAAGACGAATGCGCCGGGGTTAAAAGCTTCTAACGGCCAGTAACCTTATTCGGTAATACAGTCGACGGTGAAACATGTGTACATCGGTTCGCAACCGTTATCTTATCGCGCGTAATTAATGAACAGAGTTAACGCCGAGGGTGTCCCGAAGCTGCCGATTGATCCCGAGAAATTACTCAGCCTGGTAATTGAATCAGGAAGGGAAAAAAAGCGTGCATTCAGAGTTTATCAGCGGCGTTCATCTGTCCGACAAACGTATCCTTTAACCCCTTGCCTTACATGTCGCGTTCTTACGTTCTCGTAACACAAGGAGGTTTTTCCGTGAAAATGTACGGTGCGTTTGAGAATTTGTTGGAAGTGTCAATAAGAGGAATGCTTGTGGGGGAGAGAATGATTTTTAAATGATGGCGAGAGATTTTGAAGAGAGTGCGTTGACCTGAGAAGAGAAAAGAGTTTCTATTTATTTGTATTTTATTCAATTAACCCTTCGCGAACGAATTTTCATATTTGGAGCACTGAATAGCAAACAAATGATTCAGTTACTGAAACGTCAAGAGTTCAGTACGTAGTTTCCCATTTTTCTATTGTTCAAGTAATTGACATATAATTTAGCTTCATCTGTTAAAGGTTTTGTACATTTCGGAGAATCTTCGTCCGCGAAGGGTTAACTGTTCTTATGTTTTTTTTTTAAATAAAACATAGAATTAATAGAATGAAATTCATGAGAATGTGTCTTATAAATGTGAATGTTACCATGCAATTTTGCAATTCTGAGCATTCACGTCCGCGAACGTGTTAGAAACGCAAACTAAATTCCAAGTTACATAATCCTCGAACCATTCAACATCCTCCGTCATCCGAAAGCTACAAAACAATACAGCGAACAAGAAAATCTACGCTTCTACTTGAAAAATTTCAATGAGCCGCAAAAATATCACGCAATTTTGCAATTCTGAGCATCCACGTCCGCGAACGTGTTAGAAACGCAAACTAAATTCCAAGTTACATAACCCTCGAACCATTCAGCATCCTCCGTCATCCGAAAGCTACAGAACAACGGATCGACCGACAGTTCCAACGAGCGGGAACAAACAGTAAAAATCATTCGATAGTTTCACAGGATAGGAATGTCGTGAGTCATCACTCTCCCCGTCGTCCGGTGGAAAGTCTCATTGAAGCTGAGCCGCCGCCGGCTCCCTGCCGCGCCGTTGGCAGACGATTTGATGGCTAGGCCGAGGAATGCAGGTTCAATTGGCCAATTGCCAGCCGATTGACCAAACTGATCCGCCATTCGCCGGCGCGGCGCGCCGCGGCCAATGGGGACCGTCGAGAAAACGCGCGGCGAAAGACGCCTCCCGCTCCTCTGCCGTCCCGGCGGTCATCAAATGATCTGGCAACAGTACCCGCACCGCTTTATCAGCGATCCGCGGAACTACACTTTGCACGAGCCGGTGGTATCGGCTCGGTTGACCTCTCCGTATCGTCTCTCCCGCGTTTCCTTCGTCCCATCGATCATTAATTACAGCTCTCTAATCTCACGCATGAAGTCACCTCCGCATTTGCGAGCGAACGAACGAG